TAGTTGTTAACATTTTCTTATTGTGTATTCTTGCTTATTACCATATACTAGCCCTAAGGGGAAATTTTATGACCTGCAGGTTGTACAATCTCTGGAGCAATTTTTGACATTATATCTGAATGGAAATGTCAAAATTTCAGCATTATTTTTAAAGCATCAGGATGTGTCCCTGTCACATTTTCTTACCTGTGTATTCTTTGTTTGCTCTCTCTGAAATAATTGCCATTTTTACCACTTTTAATCTTCTTTTTTTATTCTCAGGGTTATTCTTTTTTTAAAAAAAAATAACTTGGGATAGGGTATGGTATACAGGAGGTAAAGGGAAATGTAAGGGAGGGAAAGGGGGGGGAGAGAAGAAACACAAAATATACTGACATCCAGTCTATTCATATTGCAGTATCAAAATTCAAATTTCCATTTTTCTACTATTCTCTGCCTTCCCGATTTTAGTTCACGTTTACATCCTAATTTTGATGGCTTCCCTATGTTTTCAGGACCGATGCTTCGCAGGACAGCCATTTTAACAGCTGATCAGTGCTTCACAAAATGGCTGCCCTATGGGCGATCTTCACAAAATGACAACGGTTTTCCCCATTGGAACGCATTAAATGGGTTTCAGTGCATTCCAATGGGGAAACGGTTTTCACAAGACGTTGATTTTGCTAAGCAGTGATTTCAGTGGGGCAGATGGTTGTCGTCATGCGGGTCACCACTGTATTTAACTACTCCATATTCAGATGGGTTTCAGGCAGCTGTTGAATGTAGCGAGTCTAGCTAAGAAGACAGATATAACATTAATAACATCAGGGAAACTGGAAGCAGATTGCAAGGTGTCCTCTACACAGATCTGAGTGCATCCAAATGTTCAAGTATTGTCAGTACTTGTGTGTAAACCTTTTATAATTGTTATACACTTCATTTACATCTATGAACTTCATGCTTTTCATTCAGATCTTGCAAGCCAAGAAATGAGGCGTCAGTCCTGGCTAGACCTCCACAGCCGAGAAGTCACAGAGCCAAACGTAGTCCGCTGTGCACTAAACTCTTGGTATATACAGGAAATGTTTTCCCTGCATATTCAGGTTGCAGAAGAATGTCAGTGTCTTGTATAAGTGGGTTGCAAAAAGTCTGGAACAGTTTTCAAATACCCCTAGAAGGCTGGCGGCTTGCATTTAGTTTGATATGTCCACAATGAGGTTTAAATTATGCCTGCTGTCCTGGATCTTCATCTGTTAGAACAGCCCAGAGCTGAACAAAGTGTGGCCCGGTTGCCACATACACCTCATTCAGATCCTCTTTAACCCCCACCCCACCCCCATTCAAGAATTTTTTAAAAATACAAATAAACATATGTTAAATGTTAAGAGGTGAATGCCTCCTGTTTCCCCTGTCAGCACGTCTGTACCTTGAGGCCGTACACTGACAGACATTCAACACACAATAGTTTAATTTCTTCAAGGCACACAGCTGTTAAATGGGCACAGTCTGCCTGTCAGGGGTGAAAATGTGGCAGCTCTAAGAAATGAGCAAGAGGGTTGGTAGGCTTGATATAATTGTGTTTTTGGTGGTTGAATAAAGCATTTTCAGCAGCATAATTACCAGGCGAGGGACACAGCCTCCTTACTCTTCTCTCCGTAAACTCTTGCCTGCTTTAAATGAAGATAAACAGGACCACACACAACAATTACAGTGGAGAATTTGTTTATAGACTATCAGTAGAAGGGCCATAATGCTGCCCTTTATCATTGCTTGTCATGCTACTGACAACCTATAAAACTCCTCTTTCTGCATAACTCTTTATTTGTCAGTTTCCGTGCCACCTCATACCATGGCAGATGCCTGTCATGTATGATCCATATGATTTATTACCTTGTTTAATAAACAATGTGAGGGGGGAGGAGATATTTTCTTTTAAAATTAAAATTAAGAACAGCACTTTTAGTGGCCAGCGCTCTGACTCGGCCTGTATAAGAGAAGCATCATTTATTGCTCACACAAAAAAATTAAATATTGGCTGATATTTTTTTCCTCGTGCTCTCCAGTCTGTCCCTGGAAATGAAATTTATGCAATATCCTGGCATATAAATGAACCTTTCCTAGCTGAACATTATATTGTCATGGCAAGCTTTCCTGAATGGATTCCACTGATAATAAATGGCCTGAATGTGTTTTTTTCTTGAAGATTTAATGGCCATTTCATTTCACTTGGCTTTCTCTATTCCACATAACAATATAATTTCTCTAGAAAATCTGCCCAGGCATCACATTTCCCCCTCTTGATGTGGAAGGTGTAGGTTTATTGGAACGCTAATATTTGCCAGCTTAAATGGTAACTCATGATATTATTTCCCATAATAAGCTTAGGACTGTAGGGCTGGAAGAGACCCTAGGGATCATCAAGACCAGCCCCTGTTAAGGAGGTACAATGGGGACTCCAACTCCCAGCGTCTAGCTCTGCAGCTAGAGAGCTAGATTATAATGGTTTAGAACAGGGGTGTCCAACCTTTCACCTTCCCTGGGCCACATTAGAAGATGAAAATTTGGTTTGGGACGCACATACATTTGGTTTGGGCTGCATGGGGGGGGCAGCCCTAGCCGTCCTCCCCCTAGCCCTGTTCCAAGTGCGCTTACCGGCAGCTGCGATCTCAGACAGCAGAGGCTGCCAGCTTCGACTCCAGTGGCTTTATGGGGCCGGGAGGGGGTCCACCTATTGATGGGGATGGCGCAATGCAGTCACACAGCCCCCTTGTCCCCTCCCCTCCCACTCCTTCCTTCCTTCCCTCTCTCCCCCTCTACTGTTGGAAAATCCATAGAGTGCCTCTTCGCTTCCCTGGCAGTAACATTTAGGAATCCTAACATATTATACTGTTCATTCACTGTATAGTTTTGAGAACTTGTCCTTTTCCCAAACAGTTTATATTGGAAGAGCTGTCGACGTGTACAGATCAGTAAAGTGTACACAATGTACATAGATGATATGCATAGATTGCTCCCTTCCATCATCACATATGTCAGTCTCCTGTACATGGAGGATGATTAACCTTAAAAGGGATACCCTCTTGTATGCATGGGAGCTCTGTGTGTGAATTAGAACCCTGATTTTCTTGAATTCTAATTCATGCGGAGACCTCCAACAAAAAGAGAAACCTCAAATCATCATCCTGCCTTGAGTGCTTTGTTTTTGTTTACTAAATTGGAGCTGTTAAGTTGAGCCAATGTGGATTGAGTCCATGGTATGGGAAGACTGAGGGTTTGGATCTGCACCACCCAAGCCTTCTAGAATGGTGCCCTGCTAGACGATTACCTCACAAAATGTTGAATTTGCATGACAATGAGTTTTTTTTTTCGATTGCTACAGCGCTTTGCAAAACAGTGTTTCCTATGGGCGATTTTCGCTATATGATGTTTCGTGCTTTGCAAGACTTTTTTTTTGGATATAAATAAAATAAATAAATAAATAAAATAAAGACGACGATTTTGACAGATAGGTCTGTGCCTCGCAAAACGGGTGTTTTCGGGTCCGATGCTTCGCAAGACAGCGATTTTAACAGCTGATCGGCGCTTCACAAAATGGTTTCTCTATGGGCGATTTTCACAAAATGACGATGATTTGTCCCCATTGGAACACATTAAACGGATTTCAATGCATTCCAATGGGAAATCGCATTTCGCAAGATGATGTTTTCACAAGACAACGATTTCAATGGAATGAATTAACATCGTCTGGCAGGGCACCACTGTATTTAGTAAATAATAGTCAAGCATACAAAGGTTAGCATGTGAGTTCCTTTAGTTTTCCCAAACACAGGCTACACTAATTTAATTCTGTGAGTGTAATTAATGTAGTAAAAAGTCATGGAAAGGTCTGAATAGCGGTCAGACTATGGAAGATGAATAGAGGAAGCTTAATTCTTTTTCACTCTGCCATGATCCTGACACAAAACTATGCCTTGAAACTCTTACTTGCATTTCATGGGAAGCTACCTTGGCAATCTCTTTGAAATAGCAGCTTCAAGGAGGTGATTTTTGATGGATCACTGCCAAGGCAAGGAAGAATTAAACTTGCTCTTCCCAATTTTCCATCATCTTGGGGTTGCTATTTACATGACCCCTCACCTCCCCAAAAGTCATATAAATTACATTCTTACAATTAACATCCCAACTATTTTGATCCTTAGTGACTGGGAACACATGAGGTTGCTTTTCAGAATATTCAAGGAAGGAAGCGACAAGATAGGGCAAAGTGTTTCATCAGAGGCAAAATAGTATTTTTCTACATATAGAAGTACTCAATAGAGTTGTTTTAGGAAATAGCAGTTCTGCAGGCAGTGATACAATCATGTTCTTTACGGTGAATCTCAACAGAGCAAAAATGCTCTCAAAGGTGTTCTCTCTGGATGCAAGCACACACGGATCAAAGAGGACAAATCACAGTTTTCTTTTATTAGCAAAGCCTTAGCAGCTGCTCATTCGCTGCAAGATAGTGTCCAATTGCTGAGGTTGTTCAAAAGTGGATTCTCTCTTGCCCCTTCCCATCAAAGCCCTTCAGTTATGCTGACTTCAAGTTCATGGTGATTTTTTAAAAAGAAAAACAATTTCCATCCATCTTCATTAATAGGACTAGGAAGACCACTTGGAAAGGGCATCGTTTACAAAACCATATGCCAGGATGTTCTTCTGGCCTTCGGCAGCAGGCAACTGGAGGGTAGCTGAACCTCCTGATGTGATTTTGGCTGTGATTATATAGTGTATGGAAGTTTGCCAACTGATAACATGCTGTGAAACAGTCTAAAATGTCAGTGGCCTCCTCTGTGCATTCAAACAACATTTGCAATTTATGAAGCATCTCAGGAATGGGTTGGCAAATAATGAGGAATTCAGAGCAAAGGAGGCCCTGCCGAATGTTATATTAATGATACATAAGTGATGTGAAATCTTGTCCATTCTATGGTATGTCCTTCGCCCCTTATGTTTCCATGTTCTCTTCTGTGTCTTTGCAGAACACTTGAAAGAGAAGCTGGAAGAATACATGGCTCGTTTTGTAAAAGTGAGAATTGTGCGCACGAAGAAGCGAGAGGGCCTTATTCGCACCAGGTTACTTGGAGCCTCAATAGCTAAAGGAGAAGTCTTGACCTTCCTGGACTCCCATTGTGAAGTCAATGTGAACTGGCTGCCTCCTTTGCTCAGTAAGTGACACTGAACTTTATAATAATAGAATTTTCAGGATATTTTAATACTCAATGTGCTGTTGTGAATCCATTTATTGTGCCTCTCCAATGTCAGAAGAGTTCAAATGACACTGTAAATCAGAGATTTATAGAATTATTGACTACAAGGTCTTCTATCCAAATGATAGTTCCAACTAGAGAAAAACTGGCTGAAATCCTTTTCTTCTTTGCATAAGGTACAGTTATGCCAATGTAAGCATACTGGGCGTTACAACCAGGCAGTCCAATTGTGCAATTAATTTGTTTAGTTGACTGTGTGGCTCCTGTTTCACATGTGGCACAGCACAGAGGCAGAAATGCTTTGTGAATAGCTCTTCTGCCCTGCCACACTTTCCTCTAACATTGCTGCAGCTTCAGGTTCCGCGTGCAGAGCTGTGCAACAGGATTTTAGCCACTGCCTCCATTTCTAAATAAGGCAGCCACTATGACAATTGCATTGATTCAGTGGATCTGCCCTTCTTGGAGCTTTAAGTTGCATTCATACTTAGGAACATACTGGTTCATATACTTCAGTCTGTCCCACTAGCAAGAGGAGCAGTTAAGCAATTGTTCATTGTGTCATTAGAAGATTGATGTTTTCCTTTATCTGGATTATTTCACTCCCAACAATTCAAGTTTGTTTTTGCTTTCTCCACTACATTTCTACAGTGTATTGGGAGAGAATCAAGCCAGAAATGGAAATGGGTGTCTGGCTAGTCCTACTACAAGCTTGTGAACATATGCAAGCATACTGTTCATGCACAGTAACTAGGCATCCTAAAGCCTCATAGCTTACCAAAAAAAAAAAAAAGGATTGTCACACAGAGCATCATTGCAGGAAGGAACTCATTGGGACTTAACACCTGGGTAAACATAGTTAGGACTGGACTTTTAATCATGATGCTGTAATAGGTCTTAAACCAACATTCAGGAGGTGGAAAGTGTTTGGACATGCTTGGTCCATTACTAGGCAATTTCTGGAGTGAGTTGTTTATATCATTAAGAGGGACAGAAAAAATATAAAGATTTCCAAGTTTGATTGAATTCATTTAATATCCCACCATTCAAACCATGGGCCCCAAAATCAGCAATGATGATTTAAAAGCACTATGCAATAAAATCAGGAAGACATCAATGCACTATTGGGTGATCTTAATACATTTGCTTGGAACATAATTCAAAGACATTATAATATGCTGATTTTGTTTCAGTCACTTATTTCTAAGTGCAGCACTGGGAAAGCTGTAAACATGAAATTGTTCACATGGAAGGATTATTCTTTTGGGTTTACTGAATTGTTGTTGTTGTTGTTTTAAGTAAATATATCCTGAGCCTTAGCATGAATTCACGGCAGCAAACTGCAGATAAATTATTCACTTTTGGATTCCAGTTTCAAGCAACAAAAGTACATTATTTACAGACCAGATTGCAGAAAGCTGGTTTCCTCTAGTTTTTTAAGACCTCATTAGTTCTAATTGCAGTCATCAACACATCTAGTATTTATACCATTGGTCAAAATAATAGTATATTTGACTGTGCACTCACTTACTGCTTCTAACAGACAACAGAGAGAGTAAAAAACAGAGCACAGAGGTGGGGCTTTCTTTAAATCAGAGGCAGGAAAGGAATGTGATTAGTGTGGAGAAACTGACGGTTACCCCTGCCCAGAAGGCTCACTCTCGGCCACACCTACTAGAGGCAGCATGCAAGGTTGAAAACAAAACAAAACAAAACAAACTACCCCCAACGTCATTTAAGTCCCAGTGATTCAGTTAGTCTGCTAAAAGTAACATCTGGTTTAAGTGCTATGTCTTTTGTTTATTCCTACAATACCTGACTGGTCTATACTTAAAAGAGAGACAAAGAAGTAATAGAACCAGCTAAGTGTCATTGTCTCAGTGAATTTTTACAGTCATAATATTTTAAAGTTTTGCATCAGTGTGGGGAATGCCTCCTGTGTTATTAGCAACTAGAACAAGAGCCTCAGTACCAGACAGAGCTAAGGAATCAGGTAGAGGGGTAGAAAGGAGAGCAGAAGTAAAACATAGCGCAAAGCTAAAACATCTGCAGAACAGATTGATGAACAACCTCCACATTGAACATTCCTGCTTCCCTTTGTACCATAATGTAATGGAGGGGTATCTTATCATTAGAAAGGAGTATGAGGGATTCCAGCACATCATTGCTAGCACATATTATCATAGATCTGGTGTGTTTATTGGTCAGATATGCAAAATTCAATAGTTAACCATTTTGTCAAGTACAGTCTTAAACGAAATTAGTTATATGACCTTGCACCTCCTTGACATTCCTGTATGACTTTCCCCCAATGTCTGTATTCATTTGATCAGCATTTCATTCTCTGCTCAGCTTTACGTAAATGGTTCGATTGATTTTCTTCCCCACCTCTCTGTGGTCCTCAGGGCCAGTGTCTTCTTCCTGCCTTCAGTTCCTTTCCCACCTGTCTGCACATCTTAGCCTTTCTTATTTTCATTCAGAAAATGGAGGCCATCTACCTGTGTCATTTTTAATTTAATTTTATTTTTTGCCATCAGCATCTCTAGGAAGTTTGTTTATATTATTATTTTTTTCAAAAGAAGAAAACTAGCCATTGTTTTTTGTGCGTTTTTGATGAGCATCTACAATATCTTGCTGGATAGATCCATGGTTTAGATATCTGGGTTGAGAGTACAATTCTCCACAGTGCATCCCTGACAGGGGCTAGACTCAGTGACCCATAGTGTCCCTCCCGGCTCTGCAGTTCGATGATGATGATGATGATGATGATGATGATGATGATGATATCAAATAATCTTGTGCCCTGGGCTCCTACACATGATGGCTGGAATCCTGTTGGCAATTTATACTTGCATTAAAGAAACTACATAAGTTACAGCAACACATTGCTGCTCATTAAAAGGCGTTGACTGTGCTCCTGGGCATGTGCTCTGATTGTGTGATTGGCACAGGCCCAGAAACAAAACCAACAGCTTGTTAAAAAGCCATGGTGTATGTGATTTCCCTTATTTAAATGTAAATCACCAATAAGATTTTGGCCATCAACTCTTGTGCACCATCGGATTGGAACACTCAGTCTCTGCTTCACATGGAATGGCTTTGTTGTTAGAAGAACGCCATCCTGTTCAACTGCTTGGATATTCTCTCAGGTTTACTTTATTTGTGCAATCTGTTTTTCAAAACAAAAAAAACCTATGCTGGCTAACTTAATTTCAGAATTATGTCTACGATCTGAGTACTAAAAAGCTAGGTGTTATTAATAAGTGACTGATCCTTGGTGACGGATCATATCTACCACACCTCCTTTACATCAGAATGGTCCTAGGTTCTTTCTTTACATTTCCAGATAGGACTGGGCAAAAGGCACCTCTGGATCTTTAAAGCTGATGAGGAAATGTTTGTAATTTTCTGTTTTCACTTGCAAGAATGAAATAAACTAAGATTTAGATCTCTGTCCTTGAAGTACAGGAGCACTCTGCTTTTCATGGGACCACCCTGCTTACAACAACTATATGACTATAAACCAGGGTGATGTTTGCAAAGCAAATAATAGACAAAAATGTCAATAATTTATCCAGTCATATCAAGGTTGGACTTCATATATCCCTGCAGGAATTATCAGATCTGTACCTCATCATTGAGTAGCAACTTGCAGCCACAACTTATACTATTTCATTTACACTGATGACAGAATTCTGGTAACTTGCTCAGAATAAAGTCCCATTTACTCTCAAGATGAATGTGTATAAATTAGTCAGCTAATCCTGGTTCCCTAGAAAGTGTACCTGTAGAACTCATGCATTTGGGCAACTTTGTCTTTGTCTCACACTTTAGAACTCTTTTAAATCCTTTACATGCCTTCTCTAAAGTGGAATGTGGAATCTTATTTTTCAAAGGCATTCATTGTGTCACTCATTACTTTCAGGCTGCCAAATTATTGCTATCTCTTCATGAAATTAATTTGCTGCATTTTGCATTATTAACACATTGCACCACAAGTCACCAGCTTGCCAGAAAAACAAAGGGAAATAATCTTGATGTCTGTGTAATGATGCAGATCAATACCTATGGAAATTCATAAGTATTCTGGGTAAAATATATGAAAGGGATGTGGAAGAGAAATTGATAAATTAATCTCTTTGGCTTCAATTGCTGTCAGAGTATAACCTGAATTACAGTACAATCTGATATTTGTATTTTAAAGACAAGAATGGACAGCATTTTCTCAGCATGTTCCTGCCATGCACATGAAGATAAAATGAGCGTTTTAAAATTTTTTATTTTTTATTTTATTTTTTATTACTTGCCTGCTGGCAGATTTCTTAGGTGACAGATTGGGGACAGTTTAAAGCAGCAAAATGACAGCGATATAAACGACTTGACTTCTGCAGGTCTCTCTGGGATATGTCTCCCTTTGAAGGACTATAATTGTGTCTAATCACTGGCCCAGCGCATAAAGTCTGTTACAGACGGAGGCTTGATGCAGATGTGAATGAATGATTTTAGGGCCAGGGGGAACTGCCTAGACAATCTTCAAACTTGGGGAAAAAAATTAAAAAGTGTAGAAAAAGCAGAAGGAGATGCCTAAGGGATTCGCTTTGTGGTAATGGTAATGTGATATATGGCTTGAATAGACCTGCCGTTTTGTATTTTCTGCTTTCATCTTTCAGACCAGATTGCACTAAACCATAAAACCATTGTGTGTCCCATGATCGATGTCATTGACCACAATCACTTTGGATACGAGGCACAAGCGGGGGATGCCATGCGTGGCGCCTTTGACTGGGAGATGTACTACAAAAGAATACCAATTCCACCTGAGCTCCAAAGGACGGATCCCAGCGACCCCTTTGAGTAAGTAACAGCAATGCCTAGCATTGAAATGAGATGCCACTCAGGCAACAATTCTGAACGTGGTGGGCTGCAGCCTTAGGGCCTGTGGTCTACTGGGCAAATGAGCCTCAAATTAAAGTTGGCAAACAAAAGCAGCAGCAAACAAAACAGTGGTGGGAAAGGTCAAGGTGCAGGATCTCAAACGCTGGTGAGTAGATCTATAAGGCCCTGTAGTCTGAACGGAGACAAATCCAGCCTGTAAAAGATGGTTGCTCTTTGTAGTTAGGAGGAAGAAAATATTGGTAGGAGAGTATGGGGAATTGATGTATCTGTCCTGTTTCTCTTTACTATTCCACAGAGTGGCCTTTGAAGAGGCATTAGTTTATTATTTCTTTGCCAAAGATTGATGCAATGGATGAATCAAAACTGAGCTGGCTTTCAGCCACCAAAGGCCCAATCTATGATTGATGGTATCACTGCTGTATGTATCTTGCTATAATTTAAACACAGGGGTATAAAACAGAGCAGTATCCAGCTGACTTGTGAATAATCTCACCTAAACCAACATCTTATCCCTAGGATTGCATGGATCAAATAATTCACAGTAACTGTCTCCCAAATCTTTACAAAGTTGAGTCCATTTTTATTGTATTGTATTTTTGACAGTGGTGTAAAAGATAATTCATCCTCAGCAACCAGTGAAACGAGGCAAGGAGGTATTAAGGGACAAGTAGTGAAGTTGCACTTAGCTATCAAAACTGCAACCCAGTTTAGAGGCGGTGTTAGCATTAAAAAGTCAATTTGGTTCTGTTTACATTAGTGTAACTAAATTAGACAGACTGTTCCACTCAAATGGGCCTCCATATGTACTCCAGTGCTGCTTCGACACAGTTGTCATACCTGTTACAGATTTACCGAAAGAAGTTCAGACACTGTGGATCCAGAAGCTTCCCTTTAATATAATCACAGATATAGCTAAGGTTATAGGGGAGTCAGGAAATCCTTATCCTGGTACAGTTTCTCCAAGCCTGTTCATCCTGAAAAAATATAAATCGATAAAAGCCAGAGTAGGTTGCCGATGGTCAGACAAATGTTAGGCAAACTGACAGGGAAGGAGCTGGGAATGCTGCTCCAGTAATGGCTGGGAATAACTGTGGACGAATCAGCCATTGAAAGTCTCCACCCCAGTTCTGGGCAGGGAAAACTGATAGACCATTTTGCTATATTTCTCCAGTCCAATTGTGTCTTTATAAATGTGGAGTGGTTGTAAGACAGCTTTTCCCCCCCGTTTTTCCTAAAGACCTATAATTTTGTTTTGTTCTGTCCTGTCCTTCCATTGTGCCTGCCGTGTACAACAATAATAATGCTGGCAACCTGATCTTTGGCTTACATTCTCCATAACCTTCTCTACATAGTATTATTCTGGGGCATGGTGGTGGTGGTAGTGGTAGTGCTGTAAGAATGGGAGACTCCACAAAAATCTGGCAGAGAAAAATTAGAGAAAAGTTTTGGAAAGTGACCTTCAGTTTCAAGAGGTATAAGAATGAGCATATATCAAAATGCTTCTCAGAAAAATGTCTTCTGAGAAATGTTGGCTCAGCCCTCTTTGTTACTCTTCAGAGTTCAGCACCTTTCCCAGGCTCTCCTAAATGTTGTATTTCCCAGACATACTTGTAGATAATTTTTTTATTTCTACGCAGAGGTTCTCATACAGGTCTTTAAGCCCTGCAGCAGCTATGAAGGAGGGCAGTGTTGCATTCAACTCCAGGAAGGAGATGAAGTTAATGTGGTGTCAAAATGTGTCTTTCCCTTTCCCAAAAAGTTTTGTTCCCATGAAAAAGACTTCTATTTTTCTGTCCTTTAGCATAGCCTTTAATTATATTCTTGAGTTTGTTATAACTCTGCAATTTTCTATTTGTTACCCATTTTTGGTCACTCTGCATCATTCCTGGTAATCACTTCATGACTTGGGGACGGGGGGGGGGAACCATGTGAGAGGAGTTATTTCATAATGTCTTCTTTTAGGCCAATGGTTCCCAACAGTCGGTCCCCAGATATTCTTGGACTAAAACTTCCAGTAGCCTTTGCCACTAGCTGTGTTGGCCAGGGTTTCTGGGGGTAGTAGTTAAAGAACATTTGGGGACCTAAAGTTGGGAACCACTGTTCTGGGCTTTTAACTGAAGTGTCGGAAGCTGAGGAAGCTGCCATGTGCTCCATGGTTGCACAGGAAAACCAACAGATTTGCACACGTACCCTCCTCTTTCAAAAGTATTTTTGAAATACTTTCTTCCAAAACTGTTTTTTTCCAAACTATCTTTGAAAGTATCTAAGGAATGGTGTGACCCAAGTTCCAGATGCGGGCTGGACAACACTGGCTTTGGGGCCCTTGTCCTCCAGTTGATTCAGGCCCCGGCAGGAAGAAGGTGTGACTTAAAAAAAAAACCACACACATTCCCTTCCTTCTTTCCCCAAGACCACCTCCTGTTTGTCCATCCTTCCTCCTCCACCAGTGCTATTCTTTGATTTCTGTCTTTTTAAAAAATGGGACTCATTTCTCTTTGCCAAGTGTGCTGCAGTGTTTCCTTTCTCCTTCTTCTCCACCTTGGAGAGGGGTTTTATTTTTATTTTCTAAAAGCTTCTCATTTCTCCTTTGTGGCTTTCTCCAGGGTTCTCACTGTGCCTGGCAGCCAAGGGCAGCCTCTGAGTCCTCCTCCTCCTCATGATCTTAGTGTGAGAGGGAAAGCAACAATAACAAATGCAGGAGTGCAAAGGAAGAGGAAAATAAGGGCTTTTAAAGAAGAAAATAGTTCTCTTTATCTCTACGTGACAGTCAGTGAAAAAGTAGCTTTCAGAAATAGGGTTCTGACCCTATTTCTGTCATCTTTTACTTTTGCTTCTCACATGTCCTTGACAATTTTAAATGTTTCTTCTGCCATCTGCCTAGATTTTTCTTTTCAACAGGATTCCCCCCCCTTCTTTCCTAATATTATGTCTGGATTCAATCCACAGTTCTTCTGGTTCATGTTAATAGTCAATATACAAATGAAATAGACTACATAATTGGAAATAGGAGATGGAGAAGCTGTATTCTTTCTGCCTAAACAAGACCAGGAGCAGATTATGGATCATGAACTATTAATATCCAACATTAGAGTAAAGCTGAAAAAGAACAGTAAAAGAATCATAGTGCCGAAGAACGTATGTTTGCCTATAGTACTTAAAATTAATATAGGCATATTAATGCAAAAATGTCCTCCTTTTTTGTGAAGAGTGTTTCCTTGTGTGTGTGTGTGTGTGTGTGTGTGTGTGTGTTGTGTGTGTGTGTGTGTGTGTTGGCTTTCATACTTTGTTATTGCTGCTGCAATAACAAAAATTGGTGTTTTGCTTTAATTTATTATTTTGAGCTTTCTGCACTCATGTTCACAATTCAAAACTTTTCAATTTTCAGCACAGCAACACTTTAACCTTCAGCATGAAAACATTACACAGTCAATCTGTATATTTGCTTGGGATTATTAAGGCTTGCTCTTTTCTTAGAAGGACCAAAAAAGACCAGAGCTTTCCTTGTTTCAAGCTTATATTCTTTGCAAAATTGTGTAGTACAGTGCTCTCAGAGGAGAGAAAATTGAAACTTAAAAGGGAGATTAAAATCTGTTCATTCTGAACCCAGGAGTAATTAATGTGTCTCCAGATACATCTAGCTTTTAACTATTTTCCAATACTGTGTAACACCTACCTGCTTCAACAATGTGGGGAATGCACAATTGCATTGCATCTGTATAACACTGCCTTGGCATTGATAAAGCACTGCATATTTATTGTGTTTCCAAAAGGTCACTTAGCTGAATGGAGCATTAAGGATCACCCAGCTCAGCATCCAGTACGGGAAACCAGAGTCAATTATACTCCACACTTTCTAGTATCAAATACTACCAAGAGATATTTTGGCCTTAAAAGTGCTCTACAGTATATTTTGCTGGAATGGCTAACCATGGCAACCAAATGCAGCTTTTGTATACAATGAGCTTGGAGTCACTCAGTTTCAGGAAAGCAGATCAACAATTTAGTTAATTTATGTACTTTTTGCTTGTTTTTTTAAACCTTCCTAAACTTGCCTCCATCCTTACAGATACCAAGGCAAAAATCTCTTGTTGAGATTCCGACACCCAGTTATGGCATCTACTTTTGATTATTACTTACTTTAACATTGGCTTTTCAAATTCTCTCTTTCTCTCTCTCTCTCTCTCTCTCTCTCTCTCTCTCTCTCTCTCTCTCTGTGTGTGTGTGTGTGTGTTTGCACAACTCTTAGGAGCCTTGGTGGGAAGACAAGTGACTCATAAATTCTTTTGGGAAAGATTTTATTAAATTAAAAATGGCAAAACCACATCATCACAATTATAATAACAGAGAAAAGAAACACAGTAGCAGAGATAGCATCAGTCAATTTAGGTGTTGTACAAACAAAAAGAATCTGAATTGGTGCCAAACCTAACTGCACCCTCCTGGGGAGGATTTTCCACAATTAAGAATACCACAAGAGAAGAGTTTTCTCCCTCACTTTCACCGAACGAGGCAAGAATACTTGGGAGAAGTATATGCAGCAAATCAGGACTTGTCTACACAGCTGGGCTACAACATGCTAAATATGGCTGTTAGGAGGCCCATTATGCAATTTGGGGTAATCCTTGACTCCAGCAACATTTGAAGAGCTACCCCAGCCTGGATTCCTAGTGTGGTGTAGTGGTCAGAGGATTTGAGAGTCCTGGATTGTATCCCTGCTTAGCCATGGAAGTGGAACTGGTAAAGCCACTCCTTAAATACCTCAATAAGCCAATTCAAACTTGATGGCACATCATACATATCAGACCCCTGAAACCAAATTTCCATCTTCCAGCACAACTGTAGGCAGGCTTACTCAGAGGTTAAGTACCGCTATGCTGAATGCAGTTCATTCCTTTACAAATGTGTTCTGCAAGGACTACAGGCTGGTACAAACTGATGGCTTTCAGGACTGAGCTTCA